GGTAGCTATTGTAAATGGTATTGATTCCTTATTTCTTTTTCAGCAATCTCTTTGCTGGTGTTGAAGAATCCAATTGATTTTTTGATGTTCAACTTGTATCTTGCCATGATGCTAAATCTCTCAACTACTTTCAGTAGATTTTTGACTGAGTTTCTTGCGTTTTCTAGGTTATGGGATCATATCATCAGCAAATAGGGATAGTATGACTTATTCCTGACCAATTTGGATGCCTTTGATTTCTCTTTCTTGCCTTATTGCCCTGACTAGGACTTCCAATGCAATGTGCAATAGAAGTGGTGATAGAGGGCATCCTTATCTGGTTCCTGTTCTCAAAGGGAATGATTTCAGTCTCTCTCCATTGAGAATAATGTTGGTTTTGCATGTATGCCCTTTATTATCTTAAGGAATGTCCGTTCTATTCCTATTTTCCTGAGAGTTTTGATCAGGAATGGGTGTTGGGTTTTATCAAATGCCTTTTCTGCACCTATAGATACAATAATGTGGTTCTTTTCCTTTGTTTAATTTATGTAGTGGATAACGTTGATTGTTTTTCTAATGTTGAACCACCCTTGCATATCTGATATGAACCACACTTGGTCATAGTGTATTATTTTTCTGATATGTTGTTGGAGTCTATTGGCTAAGATTTTGTTGAAGATTTTTTTATCTATATTCATGAGGGATATTGGCCTGTAGTTTTCTCTTTCAGTGATGCCTTTGCCTTGTTTGTGTACCAAGGTTATACTTGCTTCATAGAATGAATTTGAGAGGATTCCGTCCTATTCTATGTTGTGGAATGATTTGAGTAGGATTGTTGTCAGTTCTTCTATGAAGATTTGGTAGAATTCTCTGGTCTGTTGTTGGTAATTTTTTAATGACCTGTTCAGTTTCTTCTTTTGTTATGGATCTGTTCAACTTTTCCACCTCAGTCTGTGTTAGTTTAGGGAAGTACTGTGTTTCTAGAAATCTGTCCATTTCTTCCAAATTTTCAAATTTCTTGGAGTACAGTTCTTCACAGTATACTGATATTATCCTTTTTATTTCAGTTGGTTCTCTTGTGATGTCACTCATTTTGTTTCTTATTTATGTTATTTGTATTCTTTCCCTCTTTTCCTTTGTTAAATTTGCCAGTGGTATGTCAATTTTATTAATCTTTATAAAAAACAAATTCTAGTCTTGTTGAGATTCTATTGTGTTTCTATTTTCTGTTTCATTGATATCTACTCATATCTTTATTTCCTTACTTCTGGTGACTGTAGGCTTTTATTGCTGCTCTTTTTCTAATTGTTGGAGATGTTGAGTTAAGGTATTGATTTGGCTCTTCTTTTTAAAAAATTATTATTATTATTATTATTGTATTTTATTTATTTATTATTATTATGCTTTAATAATAAATTCAATTTTACAGAGAAGGGTTTGTTTTGCATTCAACATTACATGTATATTTAGATTCACTCCCCATTTGCTATCTCCAACCCTAACACAGTCTCCTCTCCTCCCTGCCAAATAACCATCTCCTCCATGCCCTTCACAATTATGCACTTCTGAGTGTTCTGCTTTTCCTCCATGCAAATGTTGCCCCTCTGGTGCCCTGTGGTCCATTGCTCAGAGGGATGCATTTCCATAAAGTATGTGGATGTGTCACCCAGGGTTGAGTGGTCTGAGTATACATCTTGTTTACTATTGGGCTGGGAGCCAGCCCCAGGGAGTGAGTTTTATTCCAGGCACAGAATGTATCCCAGGGCCATAGTATTGGGGATCTCACTAGACTCCACTTCTGCTCAACATTCTAAAAAAAAGTCTGGGCAGGGCGGGACAGGACACCTAGGCTCCATCTGAGCATACAGACTGAATGGAACTCCTGCTGGCCCAGAAGGTGGGTGGAAGGGATGGCCACGCCTCTGTTCACCAAGAGGATGTGGAGTATAAAATAACAAAAGGAATATTGTACCTTTCCAGTCATTGATGTCTGGAATGTCCTTGTGGTTTCCTGCAAGTGGAGCCTATTTTAAGTCCTTGGAATCTGGGAGAATGCTGTTTCTTTAAATATTCAGAATGATCCAACCACTTGTAAACATTCAAAATGGCCACACCCTCCAGATACACAAAGGTCCACAGCTTAGTCTGTCTTCCTCTCCGCTGCTTCCCCTTTGATTCACCAGCCACCAGTGGAGTCCTCTGTGCAGCCCCTGGCTAGTAGGGGTGATATTTAGGTTAATTCTTAGGTTCTAACACCACTCAGCAATATCCAAACTATATCTGTGCTGTCAGGATCTCTGCCAGACAGCACCTCCATATGTCTCCTGTTTTTGTGCTTTCAAGAAAGTTCTTCTACTAGGTGGAGTTTAGTCCACTGCTACGTCCTTCCCTTAAAAACTCAGGGCTCCAGGATTATCTTCTGTATCTGTGTTACTTGGTCCCCCTTTCCTTGTTGAAGAGGGTCTGTGCAGTCTGTCTGCCTGTTGCACCATCTCACTGGAACTGTGAAAGTCTGTAACTTGTGTTTTAAGTGTATAATAAAATAAAAGTTTGAATCATTAAAGTATACAAGGTGATCCTAAAATGTAAGAAATAGAATGCTGATAGTTATCTCTATCTCTAGCTAGCTCTGTCTCGAGCTTTATCTGTCTATCTAGCCAGCTATCTACCTAGAGCTATGGTGGTATAATGGAAAGGCATTTGACTGCTAATTAGAAGGTCAGCAGTTTAAACCCACCAGCTGCTCTGTGGAAAGAAGATTAGGTGATCTACTTCCATAAAGATTTACAGTCTCAGAAACCCAGTGGGGGTTGCTATGAGTCAGAAATGACTCGATGGCAGTGAGTTTTGTTTTTGGTTTTGGATCTATCTCTCTATGTATCATTTATCATCTATCTATTTACCTCCACATATATAAAACAAAAACAAAAAAACTCCGCATTCTGCATCTGTTAAGTAAGTCATTTGATGGAAATTAAAATGAGAACATTTGAATAATTATCCAAATAGCGATGTGTGTCAGATAAATTCAACAATCTTAAGACAATATAAAAATAATAAAATGAATGAAGTAGATTGACATTAAAACCTTTAATTTAATTCTTGCTGGGTCATTAACAGTTAACTAAGCTTTTTCAATATCAAAAGTTTAGAGACATACAAAATGATGTTTACTTTTTTATCTTCTGTGTTAAAAGCAAATTTTGTTGTTCCCATTACCTAGATTTATTGCTTTTAATTATTCCAGTTTCTACAGCATGAGTTATAATTGTTTGGAAGTAATGAAAGGATGACCTAGACAAAGGAGGAGGGCAGTGCAATTTAAAGTTTAATTCTAAAACACTTGTGACACATATTTCTCCACTGCCTGACAATTATTCCCTGGGCATTGATGGCCCTTTCCACCTGTCCACATACATTTTCTTATGGTAAGAACTCTTTAATTTCTTGTCTAACTTTGTTTTTCATCTTTGCAGGTTTGGATTTATTCTTCATAAAGATGAAGCTGCACTACAAAAAATTGATCTTGAAACCATGTCGTATATCAAGACAATTAACTTGAAGGACTATAAGTGCATTCCTCAATCATTAGCCTATACACATTTGGGAGGATACTACTTTATTGGCTGCAAGCCTGACAGCACTGGAGCAATTCCACCACAGCTCATGGTGGATGGTGTTACTGACTCAGTCATTGGATTCAACAGTAATGTAACAGGCATTCCTTATGTCTCCCCAGATGGACATTATCTTGTCAGCATTAATGACGTGAAAGGTCTTGTGAGGGTCCAGTACATCACCATCAGAGGAGAAATACAGGAGGCATTTGATATTCACACAAATCTGCACATATCTGATGTGGCATTTCAGCCATCCTTTACTGAAGCCAATCAGTACAACATCTATGGTAGTTCTAGCACACAAACTGATGTGCTCTTTGTGGAGCTTGCATCTGGAAAGGTTAAGATGATAAAAAGCCTTAAGGAACCACTCAAGGCAGAAGAATGGCCTTGGAACCAGAAGAACAGGAAAATCCAGGACAGTGGTTTGTTTGGTCAGTACCTGATGACACCTTCCAAGGATTCTCTCTTTATCCTAGATGGACGGCTCAATAAGTTAAACTGTGAGATCACTGAAGTTGAGAAAGGAAATACTGTCATTTGGGTTGGAGATGCCTAGGGCACTATTAGATAATTATTGAATAAGAGTTTTACAATACATTGCACTTAATCCATTGTTTAAATTTATAGCCTAACTTTTAAAGTTTATATTCTAGTCAAACAATGTAAGTTATTTGGTTGGCCCAAGTAAAATACATTATATTTTTTTTCCTAAAAAGGTACACTATTAGTAATATGGATCAGTTAGAAATATTTAATACAATATTTAATGAGAAACTACATCAATCATAAGAATCAAATCTATATGTTTAAACCAACAAAATAAGATTTTAAATACTTAAAAAATAAGTAACTGCAGGGAATTTCAGATGACTTAAGAATCACTTCATTTTGAGGGTAGTTTACTTTTTTTTTTTTTTCTCCTTCATACTTTTGGTATGCTTAAACTAGAAATAAATGATATTGTGGAACTTTAAAATTCTTAATTGAAAATATTATGTCCTGTCCACTGTTTATAATCTTTTGTGCCTTGAAAGGAATGTCACATGAGGAAAAAGAAGGCTAAAAGCTCATCCTAAACACTCTCACAACTAAAAAATACTTGTCATTAAAAGAAGAATGGCATCTCTTGAGTAAAATTCTGCCTTCAGTCATTTATTTAACGCTCAATGAAATGTCATTTGAAAGCATAAGTTAGCCTTAGGTTGTGTACAGGTGACAAACTGTATTTGACATTTGGAGTATAATCTATAACATGCTATGGAAAATGAGGAGGAAGGGAGGAAAATAATTACGGTAAAAATGTTTGTAATGTTTTCTCTACTCAGTTTGCTTTCAATCTCTGGAGTGCATTATGTTTTTAATGGAGGTTTGTCTGAAATGTCAACTGCTTACAAATGTTTGCTTTATTATTGGAGAATAGATTATTTCTTTTCACATAGCCCCTGTGTCATTGGGAGGAAATTTTAGTTGTAAAGAGAAATGAAATACCATTTCTGTCTGCTTGGATATATCACTTATAAGGAAACTGACACCAGGGAGGAAAAAAAAAAAAAAAAAGAAAGAAAAATTGTCAACAGAATTGATGAGATATTAGTGGGTTAGCAGAAATAGAAATTGGGACCATGGGAATAGGGCAACAGTGGTGAGTAAATATGTATTTCTCCATTGCCTATGCTATTTAAATATGACCTGTCAAATAACTTCATTCTTTAATAATTTCCCTAAATGACTTCTTCAATTCCACTCCTACATAATCTTTAAATTATCTCACTAACTGTGCTATAGTTTGAAACCTGAGTAAATCCTCTTATTTGAGACACAACAAAGAAGTTAAACTTATTGCTTTATTTTATGAGAAAAAAAGAAGAAAAAAACCTGTACAAGTACATTAAAACTAGAAAGTTGGTTCATTGAAATAAGCAGATAATTTTCCAAGCATAAAGTGATAGCTGATATGTTTTGAGACTCTCTTTACCTTTTTTTTTTGTTGTTGTCTTTATGTTGCTAAAGAAGGCTAATGGGCTGGTGAAATGGCCTCCATTTACTGAAAGCAATCAACTAAGGTCTTTTTTAAATATAAATTTTATTCAAGTTTAAATTGTGTAAAACTGCTTAGAAACCTGAAATTTTATAGCGTGTAATATCTTATGTGTATATAGCATTCTAAGCTGTGTGACACAGTAGATTTCTTCTTAGCTTGAGGAAATATTATGGGAAGTAAATTTAACAAATAGCAAAAATCAGCTTATGTTTCTTGTTACTTAATCTGCTTTCCTTTTTAGCAGTTTCTCCCTTGTGAACATGAACCATTCTAAAGTGTCTGTGACTTAATGATTTAGTATATGTCTTTCTCATACATTCTTCTTACACCAAGTGAATGTTCTATCTGTAGAAATTGCTTGACAAATGGAGAATAAACTTCTTACATTTTAACCCTGGAGAGTTCAGTCAATGTTTCAATGTACATACCAAAGTTTATTTTTCTTTTCTACTAATGCTTTAACCATAGTCGGGTGTACTGCATTAATTTGAAAGTTATGGTATGGAGTGGAGGTAGAGAGCAAGTAAGAGAACATAAATGAAGAAAATAATTTAATTTGTCTTTTGGTACTAAATCTGAGTTGTTATCTCTTCATTATTTAATGATTAAAGCAAGATTTTAAAGCAATGCTTAAAGGAGTAGGTATCCAAATGGAATTTCAAAAATATACAGAAAGGAAAAGTATTTTTCTTTCCACATCCATATGTTCTTTTCTTTTTTTAAATATAGTGCAAATATACAAAACAAAACATTAGCCAGTTCAGTAATTTCTATATATATGATTCAGTGATATCGATTATATTTTTCAAATCGTGCAACCATTATTGCTACCCTTCTCTAAATTATCCCATCACCATTAACATAAACTCAATGTTCCCAGGTAATAATTCCCCCTTTCCCTATCATTGCCACACCTGGTAAGTATCATATAAATGAGATGATATAGTAAGTATCTTTTTGTGACTGACCTATTTTGTTCACCATGTTTTCAAGTTTCATCCATCTTGTGGCATGCATCAGGACTTCATTTGTCTTTATGGCTGAGTAGTATTTTATCCTACCTATATATCACATTTTGTTTATCCTTTCATATGTTGGTGCACATTTCATTTGTTTCCATATTTTTGCTACAGTGAAAAGTGCTACAGTCAATATTGGTATACAGGTTTCTGTTTATATTCCTGCTTTGAATACTTGTGGGTATATATCTAGGATTAGGATTGCTAAGCCATATGGTAAACCAAAAAACAAACCAAACTCAGTGCCACTGAGTCAGATCTAACTCATAGTGACTCCTCCTTGGCTTTCTGAGGCAGTGTCTCTACAGAAGTAGATTTACCAACCTTCCTTCAGAGGAATGGCTGGTGGGTTTGAACCACCAGCCTTCTGGTTAGCAGTCAAATGCCTTAGGCACTATGCCTCCAGAGCTACCATGTATTAGCTCTATGTTAAACGTTTTGAGGAAGCACCAAACTCTTTTCCATAGTGCCTATCCTATTGTACATTCCCACTACAAATACTACTCTTCGGAAGGAAGATGGGGCAATCTACTTCTGCAGTGATACTGCCTCAGAAACCCAAGAAACAGTATCTATGAGTCGGTCTGACTCAGAGGCACGTAACAACAACAATAACACTACAAATAGATGAAATTTACAATTTCTCCACAACCTGGCCAACACTTCATTTTCTATTTTTTTTAATCATTGTCATTCTAATGAAGGGTGAGGTAGTATCTCACTGTGTTTGCGATTTGCTTCCCTGTAAGGAGCACTTGTGGTACAATAAAAAACAAAACTACATTCACTGATGTCCAGTTGGATCCAACTCATAATGACCCCTCCTTGGGTTTCTGAGGAAGTATCTCTACAAAAATAGATTAACCAATCTTCCTTCCAAGGAGTGGCTAGTGGGACTTAACCACCAGCCTTCTGGTTAGCAGTACAATGGGTGATTGCTAACCAGAAGGTTGGTGGTTCAAACCCACCACACACTCCACAAGAGGAAGATGGAACAATCTACTTCTGTAAAGATTTACCACCTTGGAAATGCAAAAGGGGTCACTATGAGCCAGAATCAACTAGATGGCACTGAGTTTTTTGTTTTATTTTGTTAAGTACTTAAGTGCAAAACATCTGCTGTTTGAACTCAGCAGTTCAATGAGAGAAAAGACCTGAAAATCTGCTCCTGTAAAGATTGTTGTTTTTGTTATGTGTCGTCGAGTTGGACCCAACTCATAGTGACCCCTCCTTGGGTTTCCGAGGCAGTATCACTGCGGAAGTAGATTTCCCCATCTTCCTTCCGAGGAGTGGCTGGTGGGTTTGAACCACCAGCTTTCTGGTTAGCAGTCAAGTGCCTTAGGCACTACGATCTACGAAATCCTTTAAAACCACCTACCCTGTACTACTGGATCATTCTGAGTTAGAAATGACACTGCTACACACAATAACAATGTCTAATGATGTTTAGCATCTGTTCATATGCTAGTTGGCTATTTTAATATCCATTTTGGTGAGACGTCTGTTCAAATCCTTTGTCCATTTTTTGATTGGGTTGTCTTTTTGTTGTTAAATTTCATTCATATACTCTTAAACTAACAAATATTGAACCATTTTTGAACACTATAATAGTTAAGTTATTGACATATGTGATTCTTTTAAATGAGCTGACATGAGATTACTCCGTAATTTTTTGAAGTATATTATCTTTTCTGACACAATAGAGAAAAACATAGAGTAGGTACTAACCAAAAAAAAAAAATGCAGAAGATTTTGAATAACTGATATATCAACCAACATTATTCTATGCACTTACTGATAAAAGTGTATTTCAAATAATAATCTCATCAATTGAGGCAGCAGCAATGGATGTTGAGACATGAGTAAAGATGGGAAAACAAGAATGAGAAGATGAAAAAGGAGGTTTCATTGAACAAAAGTGACTGCATGATACAGATAAGGCAGAAAAGTAGATTATGATCAGATTTTTGGAGAAATGAGGGAGGTAGGGATTGATTGAAACCAGTTTAAAGAGTTTGGACTCAGTACAGAAAATAGGTACCTGGCAATTTTTTCAAGAAAAGAAGAAGTATAGTGAAAGCTATTTTAATGTTTATTTTTTTCATGGAATTTGACTGTGGAAAAGGAAATTGGAGGAAGAGGTACAATTTTGGAGGCTACTGTAAAATTTTTTAAGTTTATGGTCCTTAAAAGATAGGTAAATGTTATCTTGTGAAGAACAATTAAATTTAAAGTACACAATAAAATATGTTGTTGTTCTTACTATGTGCCATCGAGTCCGACCCGACTCATTGCAACCCCTCCTTGGCTTTCCGAGGCAGTATCACTACAGCAGTAGATTGCCCCATCTTCCTTCTGAGGAGTGGCTGGTGGGTTTGAACCACCAACACATTGAAACATAGACAATGTTAACTGAAATGGAAACAAAATAAATATGGTTCACAAAAATAGGCAAATATGCCAGATCCTCCAGATGATATCATCTATAGAAATAAG